AAAAGTTAAATCACATTATCTTAGCAACCTGTAATTAGATTTTAATGATCTATGATTTATTGGAATCGTCTGATTGAAACACATCAATTTCATGAAATTTACGTAATTTGCCTTAATAGATGAAATAGTATTCACAAAAGTCTTCAAACAGTTAAATGCCAATATCTTTTCGCCTATTAATGAAAAAGATATGAAATTCTCGAATTAGCTGTGACTCAATAAGTCAATTCTAAGGAATCAAAGATCTTGAAAGTTTAATCACTGGTTATTGAATCGTTATGATATTTATACATGCAACAATTGATAAAATTGTTCAAAATTGTAATTTTTAACAAAATGTTAAATGGCATTATCATGAGAACCAGTAATTTAATTTTTACAATATATGATTCATTGGAATCGCCACATCAAGATGCAACTAAGCCATGAATTTCATATCCTTTACATCAATAGGTGAATAAATATTGGCATTTTATTGATTAGAGACTTTTGCAAATACCGTCTGTCCTATTTATTAATGCAAATGACATAAAAATATTGCGATTAAATGCGTTTTGACAAGACGATTTCAATGAATTATTGATCACAAAAATCCAATCACTAGTTGTTGATATAATGCAATTAAAAGTTTGCCAAAATTTTTATATTATAAATAAAAAAAAATACAAAATTTACTTAATATTGTAATATTTAGTAGGATTTCCCTTACTTTCAATTACAGCATTAATTCTATTTGGTATACTTTTTACTAATCAAATCAGTGTTCAGAAATGACCTGATCATTTGACTATTTAAATGATTTGTCTATTCCTTTGTCATAATCATAAATCATTTAGTATTTATCATTTCGCAAATGATCTAAATGACAAATGATACATGATCAAGATCATTTAAGATCATTTAAATCATTTGTCATTTAGTCATTTACTTTTACAAAAAATTTAGCGATATTCTTAAAGAATTGCAAATTCTTAGTGAGTTTCACAATTTTATCTTCCAACGATAAAGAATCGTTTCCAAGGATGATAGAAGGATCATTCTGATAGAACGATAGAGGAATCGTTCTAAATAAACGATTAAAAGCATTGTTCCTCAAGAACGATAAAAGATCATTCTAAAGGAATGATACAAAAAAATCGTTCCTTAAGAATGATACTATATCGTTCTATCAGAACGATAAAAAAAATCATTCCTTAAGAATGATAAAAGATCATTCTAAAGGAATGATAAAAAAAATCATTCCTTAAGAATGATAAAAGGTCATTTTATCAGAATGATGAAAAAGATTATTCTAAAGGAACGATAAAAAAAATTGTTCCAATAGGACGATAAAGATCGTTTTAAAGGAACAATACAAAAAAATCGTTCCAATAGAACGATAAATCATCATTCTATCGGAATGATAAAAAAAATCATTCCTTAAGAACGATAAATCATTATTCTATCGGAACGATAAAAAAATTCATTCCTTAAAAATGATAAAAGGTTGTTTTCTAAAGGAACAATGAAAAAAATCGTTCCTTAAGAATGATAAAAGATCGTTCTAAAAGAACAATAAAAAAATCATTCTAATAGGACGATAAAGATTGTTCTAAAGAAACGATACAAAAAAATCGTTCCAATAGAATGATAAATCATCGTTCTATCAGAACGATAAAAAAAATCGTTCCTTAAGAATGATTAAAGGTTGTTCTATTGGAACAATGAAAAAAATTGTTCCTTAAGAACGATAAAAGATCATTCTAAAGGAACGATAAATAAATCGTTCCAATAGGACAATAAAGATCGTTCTAAAGAAACAATACAAAAAAATCATTTCAATAGAATGATAAATCATCATTCTATCAGAATGATAAAAAAATTCATTCCTTAAGAATAATAAAAGGTCGTTCTAAAGGAACAATAAAAAAAATCATTTCTTAAAAACGATAATACATCGTTCTAAAGGAACGATACAAAAAATCATTCCAATAGGATGATAAAGATCATTCTAAAGAAATGATACAAAAAAATCGTTCCAATAGAACGATAAATCATTGTTCCTTAAGAACAATACTACATCATTCTATCAGAATGATAAAAAAATTGTTCCTTAAAAATGATAAAGGTCGTTCTATCAGAACGATAAAAAAATTCGTTCCAATAAGGCGATATTACATTGTTCTATCGAAACGATAAAAAAATCATTCCTTAAGAACGATAAATCATCGTTCTATTGGAACGATAAAAAAAAATCATTCCTTAAGAACTATAAATCATCGTTCTATTGGAACGATAAAAAAAAATCGTTCCTTAAGAATAATAAAAGGTCATTCTATCAGAACGATAAAAAATCATTTCAATATGACGATACTACATCATTCTGAAGGAATGATACAAAAAATTGTTCCTTTAGAACGATTCTTCTATCATTCTATCAGAACGATGCTTTTAATTGTTCCTTTAGAATGATTCTTCTATCGTTCTATCAGAACAATACTTTTAATCATTCTATCGGAACGATACTTTTAATCATTCTATCAGAACGATACTTTTAATCATTCTATCAGAATGATACTTTTAATCATTCTATCGGAATGATACTTTTAATCGTTCTATCGGAATGATACTTTTAATCATTCCTTTAGAATGATTCTTCTCTCGTTCTATCAGAACAATGATTTTAATCATTCCTTTAGAATGATTCTTCTATTGTTCTATCAGAACGATGATTTTAATCGTTCCTTTAGAACGATTCTTCTATCATTATATTAGAATGATACTTTTAATCATTCCTTTAGAATGATTCTTCTATCGTTCTATCAGAACGATGATTTTAATCATTCCTTTAGAATGATTCTTCTATCGTTCTATCAGAATAATACTTTTAATCATTCCTTTAGAACGATTCTTCTATTGTTCTATCAGAACGATGCTTTTAATCGTTCCTTTAGAATGATTCTTCTATCGTTCTATCAGAATGATGCTTTTAATTGTTCCTTTAGAATGATTCTTCTATTGTTCTATTAGAATGATACTTTTAATTGTTCTTTTGAACGAAACTAAATAATTGTTTAATTTTTAGCTCGAATTTAGCACTTGATTTGACTTGTCTGACTTATAATTTGAGTTGACTCATTCGGAACTCGAATATAATTTAATATACTATTATATACTATATAAAATATTTGCCTAATATGAAATAATTTTTTTTAATATATATAATTAAATATTTTAATAAATTTAACTTATTTACACTATAATAAACAAAATAAATAATAAAAATTTATAAAATATGCAATATTTAAAAATTATTAAAATGACTGGTCATTTGTCATTTGTCATTTGTTATTTGTCATTTGAGTCATTTGCCAGTCATAATCATTTGGTGAATACTACTTTAATCCATTCGATATTAAGATTGGTAAGATCATTGTCCATGATGATTATACGCCTTACATCTTGAACTAATTTATATAATTTTTCTATCGACTGTCCGGTCAAACGACTCTGTACCTGGGCAATTATATACACGATTTCATCAAGCTACAAGTCATATTGCACTGGATAGTATTTACATTTTTTATTACATTTGCATTTATTAGTAATACAGTGTAAACTCTTTATTTGACATACCACCACCCTCTTGTGATTAGGTAGATTTATATTGCTATCAATATCGTAATATGATTTGAGTTTAAGTCTAGTAGTAACAGTATTCAAGTAAGAGTGTCGTGTGGATAATACTAGCAAATTCACATCATCAGATATAGTAAGATGTTCGAGAACATATGTTTTTCCAGTTTCTCAGGGTGAGCCTACATAAATATCCCCTTTGTCAGGTAGTGGCCTCACATATCTCTCCTCATATGTTTCTGTCGCTGTAAGAGCTTCATTATACTTAGTCCAGAATGGCAATTTTATGAAAGCTCTTAGAAACCCTAGGCCTTTTATCTTGCAAATGCTAAGCGACAAAGACGATTTTTATTTTCTTGTCTAATTTTTTCTACGATAGATAGATCACATTCAAAAACTTTCCCAGGTTCATTATTACCTTACCGAAAGCATTTTACAATGAATATCCAACTGCTGACATATACACGACTGAACCACCACTGATCCTTGTCATGTATACGTTTGCAGAGTGGACATCCTAGTGGAGCTTTTCAGTTAAAATATATAAAGTTTTCTGAGTCCTTTTCTTCAATAGTCCAATCTCTAAGATAGTTAGAATACTTTCACAAAACTAGATTCGCATATTTTTGTAATATATCCGAACCCACAGATATTCTTAGTGGATTATTATTTTTTACTATGCTAAGCATTCTAGGTCTTATATCAAGTCCTAAACTAGAAGGTGGTTGAACCCTAGCATAATCAAGTTCGTTCCAGCTATTATCTAATGAAAACTGAAGGATGCGCTTTACAAGACTTTTTTTGCTGAACCAATTAGGTGAAGGTTAAAATTTTGATCAGGCAATCCTCTATCAATGTATTTGCTGAATTTTTCACCAGTTATGGTATATACTAATTCAGTAAATGCTTTGAGTTTGTGATGATCAATAAGAAGAGCTGACGCGTATAAAATATGGTAGCTACACTTGCTAGGGTCTGATGATGTAACGATTACCAATCCTCTGAGAATAACTTTCCAGCTACAATCAAGAATTCAATATAAAGCTCTTATGAAAGATAAACAGATTCGAATGAATACTTCTTGTGTCTTAATTCCATTTGCTTTTATATCTTTTTTGCGAAGCATCTATATCAATCACAGCTTTTAAAGGTTTTTGACCATTAATACATTCATAAATTCCAGGCAAATCATATACTTCAGAAATATCATCGGCAACAGAAAATTTGGAAGCATGATCACTATCTTGATCGATTTTGATAACTAATTTATCTTCCACAATACTTCGGTCATAAGCGTTATATAAGCTAGAGCCTTTTTCATTCAGAAAGAGGAATGAATAGATTAGGAGGCAATCCAACAACCCTTTATCGTCTGATATATCTCTAGGCGATGATGAGAGAATCCCCCGAATGGCATTTAGTAAATCTTAGGGGAAAATTTATCATTGAAGTTTTCTTGCCTCAAAGTATATGTCACATTAATCTTTAGATTTTTTACAGCTTCGGTAGTGCTGGTTGAAGCGCAGGAAGCTTCTTCATTATCGGACTCATAATTAAACTTGTAGTTATTATAATCATCTGATCTGCAATTAGAATCATTATCATTATAGCTATCTGAGTCACTTAAGTATTCGCCAATGCTGTCGTAGCAGACAGTTCCAGTGCGATCAGTTTGGTCAAAATTAGTTGAGGTATACATGCCGTTAGTTTGAAAATGTTTATATTACTTTATAAAATTCAGAAATCTTTAATTATTTTTTTTGATAGTTGCAAAAAAGAAGCGATAGCGAACTTAATAAGCAAATTATAAAAGAAAGGTAACTGGATATATATCTAAAAGTGAAAGCTTCTGCATAATCAATTATATAAAAATTGGCAGAAGCCTTCATCTAACACTAGTATGTGCTCGGGTATATATGACATCTAGGGTAGGCAAATGTACGTTCGGGTGTGGCATAAAGGTTATATCTTAATGGTATGTATCTGGGCATATTATAGCCTTTGTGTAAGACTTATCCTTTCTAGATATATACCTGGGTATGATATGAAGTCTTCTTCAGAAATTATTGTATAAAATATGGAAGAAGACTTCATCTTTCTAGATATATACTTGAGTATGGTATAGCCTTCGCGTAAGACTTATACTGGCAACAAATATCCCTCAAAAGTAATGAGAAAGTTGCAAGGAAGTTGCGAGAAAGTGCCAGGAACTAAAGAAAGACGCAGTAAAATTAACGAAAATTACTATTTTCATCATAAATTTGGCTAGAACTTTGAACATAATAATTCGACATCCAAGCTGGCATAAAAGTGACTAAGAGCTGATAGAACTAGTCTAGTTCCCTGCCAGTTTCTTACCAGTTCCATGATAGTTCCAGGATACTTCCAGGTCACTTTCATGGTGCTAAGTTGGATCCCAAGTCATGTGTTTCAAAATCGGCCAAAATTATGCCGGCCAAAATTCGCTTAATTTCGACCAGCACTATTCCACAATTTCGGCCAGAACTTTGGGCATAAGAACTCAGCATCCAAGCTGGATCTCCGAATCACATGCTCTAAAGATCGGCCAAAATTATGGTATAGTGTCGGCCGAAATTAATCACGAATTTACTGTACCTAATGCCTTTTTTTTACACTATCTCGGCATCCTAAAGGCAACCGAATAGGCATGCACTTCATATCTTTAGGACATATAAATTAATAGATTATATCATAAACTATATTATCCTAGGACATATTAGTCTGGGACAAGTGGTTTGTTTTGTTCTAGGACATATTAATATATTAATATATTAATATGTCCTAGAACAAACCACTAATAGTATTAAACTTAAAATGTTATTTTTATAAACCTATAATAAAAATTTTCCAATTTATTTTTTAAAAAATAAATATAAATAGAATAACAATGGCTTAACGATATGTGGCTAACTATTCTAAATATTTTTTTATTGTTTTTTATTTTATTTTTGAACTGTATTTTTAAAAACAAATTGATCAGAAGTTACCCGTTATTTTAATATTATTAAAATAATTTAAATAAAAAATATTGTAAAAAAGGGTTTTAATTATACCCAAAAAGACTAATAAATTTCTTTCATGGTTAAGTCCATGCATTTATAGGTAAGAACTAAAAATAACCCAAAAATTTAAAGACAAATGAAAATAATTGTAACCGAACTTCTGTTTTCTATCCTTTTTAAAATATCGATCGAATACAATTGGGAAGGGTGAATAACCTGTGTTGAAAAATGATGATTACGACCCTACAGATTGCAGGATAAACCTCAATTGTAACAGGAATGCTATTGTTGTACTTACGATTTTTGGTAACTAAATGCGGAACGTTCATTCATTTCTGTTTGTGGCTTTTTCTTCTAAGCAACAATAATGATGAGAACATAGAAATAAATAATGGATGTGAAAGAATGAATTGTACAACATAACAAGATAAAATATGTTGTATCAGATTCTCGTTTCTAAATTTGGATAGGATTAACTTTAGGGCGCGGATTAACCGTTGTACCACATTTTTGTGTTAGACTTTGATGTTACATAAATTCTAACAAAATATGGAAAAAAGTCGAGAAAATTGCCCGGAAAGCTCTAGTGATCAGGAATTGTGTATAGATACTAAACCAGCGATGAGGAATAATGACAATTCTTTAATGTATTATCTGTATTATCTTATGGTGATGTTTTAGGTATTTAGGTATTGTATGAGTCTTAAACAATACTCACCATTATAGTTTTTTTTTTCATATTTATAATAATTTATGTTTCATTTGTTGTCTAAAAATCATTCATCATTATACATGGTGTTACCAGATTGTGATACCCAATAAGGTATTCAAAAAGTTTCGAGAAGTACTCTCAATCGGGTGCATCTTATCAGTATTTCAAAAAAATAAGAACCTATTTTACTTCTTATTGCTGTTACAGTTTGTTAACTTATAATCTTCAGTGTTTCGTCTTCTGCAATCTTTTGTTACATTCCGCAAAACCTCTTGTTATCAAAATATAAAATTTGTCATGTAATTTATGAGTGAACAAACGGAAAGATAATTTTTTTTTGAAAATTCTGGAGTTGGGCGTTTTAAAAAGTATATGTACATCAATAATGTTGATTATCCTTTTTCTAGTAAAAAGCTTTTATTTTTTTTTCTGATATTTCGTTTCTCACGAACACAAATTTATTTCGGTAATAGTTTTGGATTCTTTTTTTTCTCAAGGTACGATTATTATTGATTTTCACTTCCAAATTTCTCTGGAAATAAATATAAATAAATATATATGCCTGTGATAAAAATAAGTGGTGATAATAAAAGTCTCCCAAAATTGCCAGTCAAAAAGATCATCTGTTTAAAAAGTTGATTTTCTGCCTGATTTATAACTTTTTTTTATTTATATAAAAAAAAAAAAAAAAAAAAAAATATAAAACACTAAACTTTTTCCCCACCAACCCCAATCGCTACCCCTTTTTTGAGCTTGTACCATAATATTGCATTATTCTTTTCAAGTATTGTAAAACTGGTCATAGTACCTGCCCGTTTTTGCAATAAAAAGGCCGCGAACTCTCTTGCTCTTAGTTCTGGCATTTGTTGTTCGCTCATCACTTCTGTTGGTCTTATAATTATTCGCGTCTTTACTATATTTCACCAGGTTATTTTTGTGTATTATTCACTGTGGTGGTGATCAGTGTAACTTGTGTTTGTCAATGAGGCTCGGGTTAAGGCCAACTTGCGTCATATTTCTTAATTTATTTTGAATTGTTCTCTCTGTAATCTCTCTTTTTCCTTTTTTCTTTTTTTTAAAAAAATAGTTGCCAGTGCTAGCGAAGTGTATTGATCCCTTCGCTACCTTTCAACTCATCTCTCACCCTGCAACTGCAACATAATTTTCATATTTGCATATATGCCTTATTGTACATAGCAACAACTTAAATTTACATTATTACTCAAGCAAAATTTTAATTTCAAACAATAGAATTTTAGCATCTTTTAAAAAAATAATTATCCATACTGCACACTAAAGCATACCAAAAATAAACTATAGTTTTCCTTTGTCCACTTATACACATTTGTTCCGTAATCTTGCATTTATTTTACTTTCTTTCATACGAGTTCACTTCATTATCTCCTATTATAATTGTTATATATTTCGTAGCATTATCAACATTTTTGCACCAAAACAAAAAAAAACCCACCTCCTAATATCTATTAAATATCATTATAGGCCTTTTTAAATAGAAAAGTTGTTTGCCTTCAAAATAGTATTGGCTATCAACTTCCTATTTTTGCATTACTGTAATTTTGATTCCCGGCTTGCTTCAATTTCCTTTGCATATATTGGCTACTTGTACATATATATAATAATTATATAATTCAAACTTCCATTGTCCTTCACAAACAAAACCACTTTATTCATCATGATTAACGAAGAAATATCAACAATTTTTGTTGTCGGTTTTCCTGACGATATGCAAGAGCGAGAGTTTCAAAATATGTTCATTTTCTCACCAGGTTTTGAAGCTGCAACCTTAAAGATTCCTCAAAAGGATTCTTCGGATGATGATGCATCTGCCAATGGTAGTTCTATCGGAAACGGAACAATTAATGGGAATGGGAATAATGCACGGAAGCAAATCGTATGTAATATATCATTATTATTTTTCTTTAATACATATTAATCATTTCTGATCCTTATTTTCATTATTTTTAAATAAAAATTATTCATTCATTATTTCAGATTGGATTTGCCAAGTTTCGTACTAGACTTGAAGCGCTTGAAGCTCGTGACATTCTTAGCGGCAGAAAAGTTGATGCCGAAAAGGGTTCTGTTCTTAAAGCTGAAATGGCAAAGAAAAACTTGCATACCAAACGTGGCCTTTCTAACGAACAGAATACATCTTTCCCTCTACTTCCTCCCAATAAGCGATTTTCAGCGCCAAACAACATTAATACTGCTACCGCTACTTATGATGCTTTTCATTCTGTGCCTCCTCCTTTTGCACCTCCACTTCCAAGTGATTTACTATCTCCTCAAGATTATGGGTATGACTTTTATTCAGACGTCAGCGTTTATACTCCCACAACTCCTACTACCCCCGTTTTTCCTGATCAAACTCCTTTCTCGTCTGCTCGTGGCTCTTTTGATGCAACTAATGGCGCTATTGGTGGTTTGGTCGGTGCACCTACTTCTCGTCCTATTAATAACAGCGTTAGATATGGGAAAGGTTTTTTTGACAATGGTGGCGATGATTGGAATTGTTACCTTTCATCAAAATCAAATCCTGTCGAAATTGGTTCCAAGACCGCAAAGAATCAATCAAATGGTTTTAATTCCGCTTTGCTAGTTGGTGATGACTTGCCTCATGCAATGTCTGCTCTTTCCATTAATACAACTATTCCCTCATCAGTTGTCTCTTCATCCCCGTCCATTCCTTCTCCTGGTTTTCGTCCTCCTAATCCTGCTGACCAAAATCCACCATGTAACACTTTATATGTCGGTAATTTGCCAATGAATACCTCAGAAGATGAACTCAAACAAATGTTTTCACGCTGTCCTGGGTTTAAACGTATGTGTTTTCGTACGAAACAAAATGGACCAATGTGTTTTGTTGAATTTGAGGATGTTCATTATGCAACTCAGGCAATGAATGAACTCTATGGTAACCCACTTAGCAATTCGGTCAAAGGGGGAATTCGATTGAGTTTTTCAAAAAATCCATTGGGTGTAAGAAGCAATAATAATGGAAGTCATACCAGTCTCAATAGTTTCAACGGAGAAAGACGAGGTTCAACCTATAGTCTTACTGATCGCAGAGATTCTACCTTCAGTTTGGATAGACGAGATAGTACTTATAGTTTGACCGATAATCGTAGAGATTCTTTTAGTTTGGAAAGACGAGATTCTACTTTCAGTTTAGGAGGTAGAGATTCTGGTACCGCCTTTAGTCACGCTGACCGTTTTAATTTAGAAAGAAGAGATTCCTTCTTGGCACCTGAAAGAAGAGATTCTTTAAGGGATGCTTTTTTCGCCCCAGAAAGAAGAAATTCTTTCTCTTTCGATCCACAATTGGCATAATAATTATTTATAAATTATTAAATTTCCTTTTTATTTTTCATCTTTACATTTCTAATTATCCAATACTTTGATATATAAATATTTTTGTATCTGCTCTTTTACATTTTTACAAACTTTCATGAAGGACACTGAAAAATATCCATCATAACGCATCTCATTATCTAGATTATTTTATCTTTAAACATAAAAATGGATTCCTTTTCTTTATTAGAATGGATCCCAAAATTTGAACTTTTTTTTTTTTGATTAAATACGTTTACGTTTATATTTTTTTCTTTGGTTTGTTTTTTTTTTTTTGTTTTGTTATAACCAACTATTTTCTTTTTTTTTGTAAATTGTTTTTTTCCTTCCCTTGTTTATCTTTATTTCTTTTCTTTTACCTTTGCATCCGTTTCCACAATATATATATATATATATATTAATGTTTCAATAAATTGTAGAAATCATTGTGAATTCTGTATAAATTGGAGGTTAAAATATTAATTTTATCTTTTACAAATAAATAAAATAATTTTTTTTTTTTAAATATTAACGTTAATTTTACGAATCAAATACTATAATGGTAACAAATAAAGATTTTATAATCAAATTTTTCTAAAAAGTATATTTATTATTATTTTATTAAATAACCGCCTAATTCGAATTTGCTTGTATTTTACTTTATATTAATTTAGGATCAAAAAATTTTTTTTATATATAAGATAAAATTTAATATCCAACTCTTTTTATGTTATTAAGAAACTTTGTAATTTACATTTATTATTTATTAAATATGGGTACAAGATTTTTCACCCCCACGTGATAGGGTGTCCAGAAATATGTGACGCAAATATTTTAAAGATTTTTTCACATATGTTATGTGTCACATATTTTATAGAAAATCACATAAAATATGCATGCACATAT